GGGGGGGGGAATAAGAGAGAAGCCTTTATAATAATATCAAATAGAACCCCGGTGAAAGATTTTAATAGTTTATTGCCCAAAATCTCCAAATGCAGATTGATTCCATATCTAATTAGAAACTATGACTCTGAGTTCATCTGTCAACAGCATAATCATTCACAAAGATTAGCCTCAGGGAGCTTCCAGTCCCGATAATGAGAGCGAGCCGTGATTGAAGGAATGAATGCTGGCTCACTGACTGTCCTCATTTCTACTGTTTCGAGTTCCTGAGAAGACATCACATTAAAGCTGGACTGAACCTCGTGCTCAGGGTTCCGGCAGGAGGCTAAAGAGCTGACAGCACAGTGCTGGAGATCTTCACATGAAGTACTCCAGAGAAACCACTCAGAGACATTGTCAGCAGGAACATAGAGCTGACTGACAAGACAAGGGTAGAAGTGTTCAATCAGTTGTTAACAAGTCCCGGAGATTAATTATCACGGCTGTAATATCGTCCTGATAAATTCCCTGACACTGCAAGGCTCTCAGATAATATGAAACAGTCTTCTAAACTCTCAGTTGCACACACTTCTTAAAAAGAAAACTGACCATGCTACATTTACACAGGACAAAACTTGTTTGCCTTGTTTCTGTGTCCTTCCTCCGAAATACATTTTCCCATTCTGTTAGATGTAGTTTGGCAAGTGCGTCAGAAAGCCCTTATTATATGGAATAGAATACAAAGAAAACAGAAATAAAAGCAATGTTATCCATCATCATGTGGACAATTAAATCTGATTTCTGTATACATTAATGTCATTAAATGCCTCCCACTTTACCAACTTTACTTTTTGACTGGTGGGTTTATAGCTATGCTGCCTAAATTAGCAATTACAATCATTAGCAGTTACAGTATGAAAACGTTCTCCTAAATAAATAAATAAATAAAATAAATAAATAACTAAAGACCTTTAATTATCATTCTCTGCGGAGCTGCCATAAAATCTCCCTTTTCCTGGAAATAAAAAAACGCTTCATAGAAACGCTGAAACACCTTTTGTATGTGATACACTGTTCATTAACTGGATTCTTTGTCTCTAACAAAAAATTATGGTGAACAAAGAGCAGTTTCAACAAAGCCCTGTTCAGATTACAGCAGGAACAAGCCCTATGGCAGACTCGAGGCACAAGGACTGACTTGGGTTACAGCAACTACAGCTGGCTGCAGGCTCAAGGCCAACACACGATCAGTATTCAGACCCACAGCTGGCAGAACAATCAGCATTGTTTAAAACCTAAACTGCTTCACTCAGACATGATATTGTCATCCTCAAACTCGAGGAATACTTGCTGGCTGGTCTCTGAACAACCACCTTCTCTGTTCATTCTTTAGTCTATTGATGGTTTGCCAGTTAACAAACAATCAGACCCACAGGTCAAAGTGTCTGGTTATGTTTGCAGAGGAAAGTGAAGTAAGGAATGTGAGGTAAATTGTCCTGAGAGATCAACGTAAGGTCTGGAAAAGTATTCACAAGGTTACTGTTAGCAGGCTTTTTATCCATTGCTGTGCAGTGAATTCTTTTGAGGTCACATGTTTAGTCAGTCCTGTGTACGGATACAGATCAACTTGTGTCATACATGAAGCACACTTTCACCCAACAAAAAGCCTAAATTCAGTTTAGTTCAGCTTGAGTCACAAACAGTAAGACATGGTCAATGTGATGCATCTCAAAGTAGCAGCAAGATTTGTGGTGGAGATTCTGTGAAAGGGTTACTAAGGCTCGTAGCTGCCGAGAGTTTAAGGATCTCTCAGCTGGTTGGTCACACGCTACTGAAAACCAATGTGTCAGTTAGTTATTGGCTTTTGCTCTCAGTCACTCTCCCCGTGGCTACTGTACATGTCTGCTCCAGTTTGTAGCAGCTACCAAGGCAAGGCAGTGCTGTTGCAGTGCTTTATATTCAAAAACACACCAGTCCGGGATTGAGTGCCAACTGGACACCCTGTGTCCCCTATCACAATTTTTTTCCATATAAATTATATATAAAGTTCAAGGAAATTCCCTGCTGCATGTTTATTAAGTTAATGAATAATTCTGCTAAATTACTGAGATTCCAACTATTGAGCAAAATAATCATGACTATGGTTTTTGTGCTACAGCAGCACTAAAAGCTCACAGGCTCAAATGTATTTTTTTTAAGCATCCCTGTAGATTGTCAGTTTAACATTAATCAAGAAATGCAGATTTGGAAACCGTTCTGATAGAACTGAGAGAAAACTTGGAAAAAGAAACATCTAGATCACATGGTGTTTTAGATAAACATGACGGTGAATGGTCCTTATTGCTGCTTGTATGCTGCGAGAGAAAGACTCCTTTATGTAGGTGAACAGAGTTGGGCTTTCTGCAGGGAACAGACACTTACAGTTTAACACAACGTTACGCAGTTTCATGCCTGCCCACAGGCTGTTTACACATGCATCTGCACCAACCTCACAGTAGAGCAAGGATAACAGGCAAACACACATCGTGCAGTCACACAGTC